ACTTAGTATCGTTTTTGAAAGTTGGGGGGGGGGGGATTTTAACAACTTACCTAGCCAAATTTTATTCACCACCAATGAACATTTTCAACAGTTAAAGGTTATAACTGGCAAAAGAGTGGGGGCACCCCCCCCCCCCCCCGATACTATGTGCCTGATGAATGCGTTGTTCCTGCTGACTTTCGTCGACAGTCCAGACGTCCGGTAACATCGATTATTTTTCATTTGAGAAAATGTCGAGCAGTTATCCTTGTAAATGGTCGTCACATAAGGCTCTTCCATTAATTTCATCATGCAGTAATTTAACCAATATCAATTACACCAGGAAACACAGATCCATTGTGAATTGGTAAAGAAATTTAGGTATCTGGAGAAATTGACTAAGGAAAGTGATGACAACACCTCCCCCCCCCCCCCCCCCCCGCAATAGTTTTAACGGCTCCTCATAAATGGTTCACTATATTTTTTTTATTTAGTCATTTTTCCCCTTTAAATTAAAAGCATGGCAATCTAGATCTCCGTTGTATGCACATAAGAAGACCATAATCTTCTTTCTGGGTTTGACAATGAAATCAGATATGTATTGATGTCTTCTACAGCATGCGTGAGTTGTAGTTTTATTATGTTTTTTAATTTTAATGTAAAAGATAACTCGAGTTAAGCAATAGAACATTTAGAAAGAAAACATGTACATACATGTAAGTATATGCGAAAAATATAAAATTATGAAAAATACTCATCTAAATAAATATACTTCACTGCACAATTATATAGAAAGGATATTTGCGTAAATGTGCGAAAACATTATCAATGAAACAGAATTTAATAGTAAATTTTATGTCTAAATTCAAAGATCGAAGATTGGGCGCATGTTTTTTGTCCTGTCTGCCCTTCATTCTTGCTGTCTACGAAAAAAATAATACATGTACAGTATCTGAATGAACTTTGAACTGTAGTTTAGATGAATATGTATTGATCACAAACATAAACTTGCATCATCTCAACATTTGTGCTTTACGAGGTGTGTACGGCAAACAACAATATTAGGTTATCGCTATACATTTTGCGATAATCTTCATCTCCATTTTAGTGCATGGATTTATCCCAAAAAAAAAAAAAAAAGTAAAAGAGGACTTAAAACATAATTCAAAGTTTTACAAGTCACACTTGGTTCAGGAAGGAGGAATTTATCGTTGTTAATAAAAGAAAAACTAAAATATTTTGTGTGTGTGTGTGTGTGTGTTCATTTATTTATTATTGGCATAAAATATGATTGCAAGGTCTACTTCTTTCGCGATTGGCTGAGTGTGATTCGGAAACTTCAGTACTGCCAAATACCAAATACGTGTATCCTGTGACCATCATCACCGGAGGAAAAACCTCCATTAGGGGAGAAAGAGATATTGAATATAAGGTACAATTAGAAAGTGCATATAGATTAAAACCCTTTGATGTAGTGACTTTTTTCAGAAAGCCTTGTCTGGAATTTTTTTTTATTGAAAAGCCGACCTCTACCCCATTTTTTGTTATTACACTGTGATCAAACCTGCCATTTTTTTCTGCCGGATATGGGGTGGGAATAAAATCTAACCATTGCCCCCTGATTTAAGAATCGGGTTTCTGTGAAGCTGTTTAGTATTTCATTATAAATTGTTTCCTTGGTCTACACGGTTTGTCTGAAGTTTTAAGATTCAAGAAGAAAATTAAAAGAAATTAAATATTTCAACTGTGCTGTATGTGATTATTAAAACCGGGGTGGGGGTATCGGATTTGGATATCGATATAGACTCTCTAAGTAATGGTCAACGTGAATCATCTGGTTGATTTTTTTTAATATATCGATCTGTTATTTCACGGGTTTTACTTAATTACAAAATAATTTATGGCTATAATGGATATAATGTAGGGGCTGGCAATATTTTGTCGATTCAAATCAAAGTTGAGAGAGAGAATCAAGCTTAATTTACTTTTTACTTCTCTGTGAAAAATCTGACCAAAAAAAAAAATCTGAGAAAATTGGGGTTGGGGGTTGGGTTACATTCCTCCCTATTTGTCCCAGTGTATGCAAGACAGATTAGGGGACGACCATTTGATTCTGAAAGGGGGTGGCTGGAAATTTTTCTGAGTCCAATTTATTTTCATAGCATCAGTCAAAGACAAATTCTTTATTTTCTTGCCAGTCAAGAACGGATTATCTATTTCCAAGACCAACATTTTAGAGCACAGATTATTTATTATCCCCCTCCCCTCAGAATCAAATGGTCGTCCCCTTATTTGGTTCCAACCCCACCCCCCCCCCACCCCGGTAGGATCAAAATGTATTGATAATTGACAATTAACGTTCTTTAAGCTTTCACTATAAATCATTTTTTGTTGATCTTTTTATTCAAAATCAATCGAAAGATACAAATAATTTAATTTGTTAACAGAATCTGTTCCCTGCATTATCATGCTCTTGTCATACTATATAGCTGCTCATGACTGTGACGTCACATCGACTTGAAAACTCGAGATGTGCACACTAAATATGCACCTCTTAGCTGGGGTGAAACAAGTGGGCGGATCATTTAATCTAAAGGAATAAAGTTTGTGTGTTGTACTACGATAACAGAATACCTTATATTACATACAATGCCTATACGCCATTTTGCCACAGAAAGTTCGGGAAAACAGTGTACATGTGACGTCGCACTTCGAAAAGTGACGTCGATCAGGAGTTGTCTGCAGTGTATTGGCAGTGTTGACATTGTCGCATTTCTCTGGTTATTTGTTGGATTTAATCGTTGTTACGACTGTAAAAATACTTGTTAGTGTTTTCGGTTATCGTAATGAATATGCATTGGTATGTATTTTCGTTCTCTGCGAGTTATTTCTTTAGGATATCGGCATGTGTAGTCTTCATTCATGGATACTTATAGAATGAAAGATACTTGGGATTTTAGCGCAGCGTGACAGTACAAATACTTCTACCGTGTTCATTACCGTTTAATTTGTACATCGCGTGGACTGATTAACAATACAGACCGAATAGTTCAATACACATTGTATATGGATTAACTACAGGATTTTTAACTAACTAAACTGGCGCATGCTCAAAGGGGTTAGTCGCCGCTGAGCGGCGACTAACCCCTTTAGGCATGCGCCAACTAACCCCATAAAATTTTCATCTAACCCCTGCCAATACAAGCAACCTTGTTTACACAAATAAATAAACAAACACAACAATAAACAAACAAACAAATAAATTAAAAAGAAAAAAAAAACAATATTACAAGAAATAAAATAAATTATTTATACAGAAATAAACAAAAACTTTACTCAGTACTTGTATTAGACACAAAATGCATAGAATTAAGGCAACATTTTTTATCTTTTAAGATACAAGTACATGTAAAGAGACTTAGTTGCTTATTTTTTTCAATTCTTTATATTCCGAATGAAATAATTATTCCGAGTTAAAATAATACCCTGTTCATTAGGTCAAAGGCTCATTGACGTTTTTCATACTAATTGTTAGGCCATTATTTACACACTGTATGGTCGACGGATTTTTCTGTTATTTCCCCATCATGACAAGGAGCACACGCTGGGTGTGACCGGTCGGCAGGGGATGTTCACTCCTCCATGGCACCTGATCCCACCTCTTATGTTTTAAAGATCTGTGTATGCTCTGCTCCTAAATTTGTATTGTTTAATGGACTCTTGAGCTTGAATACTGTTCTTTATCTCCATACATTACCTAAAGATACTTCCAAATCAATATGAATAATCATGGGTTTCTTGTTCTTTAGATTTTCAAAGACTTTTTTGCTCACTCCTCCATGACATGATCTGATCCCACCTCTAATGTTTCGGGAGGTCTGTATTTTCTCTGCTCCCAATTTGTATTGTTTAAATGGAGTTTGAGATTAAATACTGTTCGTTATCTCCATATTTCTTTCCCATATATATCCCTATGTAAAAAACTTTGATCCCCCCCCCATTGTGGTCCCATTCTACCCTCAGGTGTCATGATTTGAACAAACTTCAAAATACACTACCTAAAGATGCTCCTCTATCCATATGATTAATCAGGCATTTGCTATACTTGAGAAGAAAATATTTACCGGATAAGATGTTTTTCCTATATATTCTTTTGAAAAACTTTGATCCCCCATTGTGACCCCACCTAACCCCAGGGGTCATGATAATAAGATTTGAATAAATCTGAATCTATGTACACTACTGGAGGATTCTTCCACATCAGTATGATTATTCATGGTTTTTATATTATTGAGAAGATATTATTAAACTATTTCTCTCCATACATTTTTTGTAAAAATTTCATTTTCCATTGTTGTTCTACCCTACCTCCGTGGGTTATGATTTAAATAAACTTGAATCTACGGTATCTAAATATGCTTCCATTTAAATATGATTTATCATGGCTTTACTGTTCTTGAGAAGAAGATTTTTAAATATATTTTTCTATATATTTCTTTGTAACAATTTAATCAACCATTGTGGCCCAACCCAACCATCGGGCGTTCATGATTTGAACAAAGTTTTTGGTCCAGTGGTTCTGGGAAGAGTTTTCAAAGATGCCACCAAATTAACTTATTCTTAATTATCTCCCCTTGAAAGAGGGTGTGACCCTTTATTTGAAAAAACTAGAATTCCCTTCACCCAAGGACGCTTTCTGGCATGTTTGGTTGAAATAGTTTCAGTGCTTCTGTAGAAGAAGGACGCCAGTCAAAAATTTGATCAATAAGCTATTTTGAGCTTTTTAGTTCACATGAGGTAAAATAAGTAGCTTGATCATACATGACATCCTATAGTATACGTACTTGCCATAATAAGTCTCGTCTTAAGATGGGATATACTTATGCAATATAGGCATCAAATACGATTCTCTCTTTTTTTCTCATAAACAAACTTATTGCATTCATAGAGCTGCAAACAAGGACTAACAAATAGAAAGGTAATCTCATACGCACATCATAATAACATAATTAAAATATTACCTCTGTTTGTCCATTCCTTGTAAATGGATCCTTCCTGAAAACACACTTCTTCTCCAACCTTATCATCAAACTTCTTCTCCATATTCAGCACCAGAATAAAGAATGCTCTTGGACTAAGAAAAATCTGATGTGAGGCATAATATGAACACTGTCCTGCAAAGTCAGTCATGGTGATTTTTTTCTCAGGATCATCTGAAATGTTTTTTGCATCTATCTGCAAATTTCCAGGAATCTCTGAACCATGAGAAATTTCTTTGCTTTCCTTCATAACTTCTGCTACATTTTCTGGCGATGTGGCCCCTTGTGGTTCATAGTATGAGGTAGTTTTAATGTCAGTACCATCACGTGATATCTGTCCAATGTTTGATTCTTTAATCATATTGCCCTCATCATCAACTGGTTTCATCTTTTCCTGTGTTTCCCCTTCATCAGTTGCATTTTCTGGATGATACTCGGGAACACTCTGTTTCATGTCTTTTTCATCAAGTCTAATTTTAAAGCGTTGTTGTTGGCTTGAAAAATTAACTGCAAATAAAAATGAATGCAATTTTATGAACACCTTCTATTTTTGTTTTCCCTGTACTTTAAGCAAAGACTTTCTTTTTTATTTGCACAAAAAGACCCTTATTGAATTTTGCTCTGTGTCACAGTAATTATCTTTTAATCAAACTATTGAGCATATTTTGCCAAGGATACGGGGATAGAAATACTTGTAATTAACTTTCAGATTCACTTGCCCTTTGAAAAATCTCCTACTTTGACTTGCCAAAACTTGGTTGCCCAAAATTAAGAAAGAAGAAAATAATTTATTGCTATTAAAATTTAAACAGTAAGAAAAAATGATACACTACTTTTAATTTGGCAATTAAGCTACAAGATAAAAGTCAATGTTACATTTGAATATGTACCGGTACCACTGTCCTTCTCAATTTAACCAGTAAACACACACTGTCATACAGCAATACCCCCTCTCCTTGTTTTGTTTATAATAAAACTCCTTATAAAAAAATCAGCAGGATCCTTTTGTAAATTTTGATTTTCAAAAATAACTGTGAAGCAATGACAAAGAAAGACAGTTGCTACGAAACACACATATCTTGTTTTGTATACGTCATGTAACATATATTCTGTGAGTGAATAAACAATCTACAAAGAAGCTTTCAAGTTGTTAAAGGTAGTGCGTAACTACCATGGAAACACTCCAAAACAGAATAATGAACCTAATTTTTAATTGAACCTAAAATCTGGAAAGGAAACTGAGGGATTCAGTCATGTCAGTCACGTATCTGGCGGAAATCAAGTGTTTAATTTACTGTTTCATTTAAACTACATGCCAATATACATTTCTTTCAGAAAAGTTTCAGGGCAAGTAAATTCTCAGTTCAGACAAGTGCGTTGACCATTTCACTTGCCCGAACTGAGAATTTATTGCCCTGAGTAACTGGACAACCTGGTGATACATGCTTACATGTATAAATTAATCAGTAAAACCCGGATACAGTAACAAGATGTCCAAGGGCCTTAACAATGAGTTGAGTATAATACAGCAATTTAGAAGATCCATAGAGTATAATATAAACTGATAGACGAAACTTTGTTGACCGAAAGCAAGAGAAAAAAGATGATCAGGATCAATGAAATAATCAGTCTAGTATTCTGTTACAACTCATAGATTAAGTTTTAATCTGTCTCCCATTTATCACTATCACCATGCAGACTATAATCTATTATCAAACTATTTGTGCTTTTGTACTATTTTGAACCAAATATCATAACCTATCACAAAGGCCTCTCTTGGTCTTTAAAGAAAATAAGAGGCCCAAGGGCCTTGAATCGTTCTTCTGATAACCTGTACAACCTATTACTTCTTTTTGAAGCCTCTTAGTATCCTGTATATATAGATAAAGCCTTGAAATTCCAAAGGTAGATCATCATGACCTACATTTTAGATGAAACACTCTGAGAACCCAAGATGATACTAAGAATTAGTACCTGAAACTAGGTCATGGTGACCTTATCATTTCTCATTCTCTGAAGACTCGAGATGAGTCAAGTAAGTTTGGTGATTCTGAGCCAATTAATACCTAAAATATTTTTTTTTAAATTTCAAAAGTAGATAACAGTGACCTTCTTTTCAGAAGACATACTTTGAGGACCAACGATGCACCAACTGACAAAGTTTGATGATTCTAAGCTGATTAATACCTGACATATTTAAATAATGTCAAAAAATTTCAAAAATAGGTCACAGTGACTTCCTTTTCAGTCAACTAACTCTGCGGACCCAAGAAACATCAATTGACAAAGTTTGATGATTCTAAGCTAATGAGTACCCGAAATATTTCATTATAGCCATATAAATTGAAAAGTAGGTCATGGTGACCTTCTTTTCAGTAGACATACTCAGAGGACCCGAGGTTATACAACTGACATATTTTGATGATTTCTAAGCCAAATAGTACCTGAAAATATTAAATACAGCCATAAAATTTCAAAAGTAGGTCACAGGGACCTACTTTTCAGTTGTTGTACTCAAAGGACCCAAGATGCATCAACGACATCAATGACAAAGTTTGATGAATAAAAGCCAATTAGTACCTGAAATATTTAATCATAGCCATAGATTTTTAAAAGTAGGACACAGTGACCTACTTTTCAGTCAACCTACTCCTAAGATTCAATATGCATCAACTGACAAAGTTTGATGATTATAAGCCAATTATTACCCAAAAAAATTATTAAATTATAGTCAGATAAATAGAAAAAGATGTCACGGTGACCTACTTTTCAGTTGACCTACATTGAGGACCCAAGATACATCAACTGACAAATTTTGATTATTCTAAGCCAAATAGTTCCTTAAATATTTAAATATAGCCATTAAATTTTAAAATTAGGTCACTGTGACCTACTTTCCAGTTGACATTTTTCGAAGAGCCAAGATGCATCAACTTTCAAAGTTTTATGATCATAGGCCTAAAATGTCCAAATTATGCCTCTAAAACGCTTTGAAATCGAATGCCTGCAAAGTTCAAAAAGTAGGTCACTGTGATCTACTTTTTATTAATAGTGTTTTATGGCCCAAGATGCATCATCTTACAAGATATAATGATTATAAACCTAAATATGTTAAAAAAAAATCAACCATTAAATTCAAAAAATTGGTCAAGCTGACCTACTTTTTAGTTGGCGTACTCCGAGGACCCATGATACATCAACTGACAAAGTTGGATGATCATAGGCTTTTAAATTGTTCAAAATATGCCTCTAAATCATTTTGAAAAAGAATGGCCACAAAATTTAAAAATTAGGTCAACGTGACCTACTTTTGAGTCAACATGATATGAAGTCCTTAGATGCATCAACTGACAAGATTCGATGATCCTAGTCCTTGTAAGCAAAACATCAACATTTTAATAAATTGCAATTTTTGGTCCATTCTGAAGTGATCTTGAGACCACGCCCTTTGCCCAAGGATAATTCCCTGTGCAAATTTTAATCTACAACATATCCTCATCCTTTTGTGTAAGTTTGTTGATAATCTGCCCAGTTGTTCTTGAGAAGAAGATTTTTTAGCAACCAGTACTTTGTTTCCTTTTTTTCATTATCTCCCCTTGTTTAAGGGTCACAACCCTAGTTTTAGTATAAACGGGAGCCCTTTGGCCATGGATACCGTGTGACAAATTTGACAATAATTTGCCAGGGGGTTCTTGAGTTATGGCCCATATTCTAAAAAGTTTACATACACCGCACAAATGGCCATCGCATTAGCTGTTTTAGCCTTTGGATTAAAAGAGCGAAAAATGGAGATAACAAACAGTATTCAAACTCAAACTTCCATTGAATACAGTACAAATCAGGAGCAGAGCACACACAGACTTCTGAAAAAGAGAGGTGGGATCAAGTGATATGGAGGAGTGAGCATTCCCTGCCGACTCATTGTCATGGGCAGGAAAAAAAACGGAAAAATCCGTAGACAATTCAGTGTGTAAATAATGGTCTAAAAATTAGCGCAAACTAGAAAACTGACCAGTCAGCAAGGGCCCCGCCGAGGGGTAGAAATATAAGGGTGTAGCTTACAGAATGAGAATTTTAATTGATTACAAAAATTTTAAAATATATGAAGAAGAATATGCAATAACAACTGTATTTATAAAATTTCAAGATAATTCCTAAATATCAACAAACTGTAAAGAGTATCCCTGTATTTACATAAGGCAATAAAAAACATATCTATAATAACTCAATTAAATGTATATTTAAACAGGAATAAAGCATGTGTTTTCAAATATCATCCAGGCTTGACCTTAACTTCAAAACAAACATCAGTTGCAGACAAAGGTTAATTTATCTTAAAGTGACAAATAAAGATAAGCCTGGGAAATTTTCTGCCCCAGACAAGATAATTAATCCCGAGGGATTAATTGTACTGCTGTTTTATCCTTTTCTTCCAAGTTTACAATAAGAACTCTTTCAGTAATGATAGAATGAGTTTATTTTTGGATTACCCGTTAAAATTACTAGTATTCTCGAATTTACAAACGGCAGCCAAAAAAAAAAAGGAATAAATAAATAAAATAAATAAATAAAAACCAAAAAAATAAAAAAAAAAAACATATCTTTATGTATATCTTGTTTTTAGAATTCAATAAAATCATAACTCATTGTATATTTTACCAAAATAAAGTATGAACATTATTTAAATCCACATTTCAGAGAATGTAAACATCATTCAGAATTGACCTTAACTTCAAAACAAACTTCATTTGCAGACAGGGGTGTTAATTAATCTAAATTTGACAGAAACAGATAATGCTTTGGATTTTCTTCAAGAGGAAAGTTAATTAATCCCATGGGACTAGTTGCAGCTTTCATAGATTACAACAGGAACATTCTCAGCAGTTATTTCTCTTTGCCCTGGCATTCATTCTAATGTAAATTTAAGGAATCTACCCCACCACCCCAGCTCCAAACTGGATGACACAGAGAACCAAACTTAGCATCAAAATATGTCTTACTGCCTCTTCAACCAACATACCAAATTTGAATTTAATTGGTCAACTACAAAAAAAAGTTATTAGAAAAAACAGAAAATTTGTGGACGGAAGAATGACAGACGGACAGACAGACAGACGGACAGACAGACAGACGGACAGACAGAGTGATTGCTATAGGGCACCCGCAAATCCTTGCGGGGCCCTAAAACATCAATCAGCATTTGACTTAATGAGAGGCTGTATTTGCTGATGATGTGATTGTATCGACCATAAAACTTGCAAAACATTGACTACAAATGAGACTGTTGATATCCTTTTTTCATCAACTTGTTTGTCAACAGCTTACCTTGTTTTAGATATTGTTCATACCTAGAGCATGCTCTTGTGTATCGAATCAACTGAGAGACATAAACCCCATATGCAGGTGATAAAGGTATATTGCTACATAAGTATGGGAAGCTGACGATAGAAAAGTTGAAGTCTTAACGTCTATCAAAAAACTTAGTTGTTAGGTTCCCATTAATGTCT